CCTCCTCCTCCTCCTCCTTCTTCTTCTTCTTCTTCTTCTCTCCTTCCTCATCCTCCTCTTCTTCCTCCTCTTCCTCCTCCTCTTCTCCCTCTCCCTATTCTTCTCCTTCCTTCTCCTTCTCCTCCTTCTTTTGAGAAAAGGTCTCAGTATGTAGTTCAGGTTGGCCTTGAACTTACCATGTAGCCCAAACTGGCCTCAAACTCTTAGCAATCTTCCTGCCTTAGTTTCGTGAGTTCTGGGATTATGGGTGTGTTTCACCACACCCAGAAGGTCAATTATATTTGTATAGGCTAGCATGAAACAGTTGAAAAATAATGCTTACCAGTGACAGACCTATCTAAAATAGCAAAACAAACAAACAAACAAACAACAAAAAAAAACCCCAAAACCAAAACCAACCAAACAAAAAACCCACCCCCCAAAAAACCCAAAAAACAAAACAAAACAAAAAAACCAAAACCAAAACAAAACAAAAACAAAGAAACCACATAGACTACTCAGAAATAAAATTTATAAAAGATGTTTGAGCCTTTGGAACTATAAATTACAAAATACTGTTGAAAGGCTAATTAAATGAATTATAAAAGAGGGCATGTTTGTGGATTAACAAAGTCAATATTAACAAAGTAAATTTTTCCCCAAGTTGGTCTATACAATCTTAATCAAAATCTTGCTGGAGTTTTTAAAAAATTGAAAAGCTGATTCTAAAATTTATGTGAATGTACAAGGAATACAGAATAGCTAAAACAACAGTGAAAAAGTAGAATATTAAGGACTCAGAGCACTTCATTTCAAACTTTCTCAAAGCCATTGATAGTCAGAAATGTACTATTGGCATAAAGATAGATAAATTGGTGAATAGAAAGAGTAGAGAGTTCAGAAACAGACACACATAACTTTGATGGATTTTAATTCCAGTCACTCAATATATTCAATGAAAAAATAGAAGTATTTTCAGCAAATTGTCCTGAAAAAACTGGAGTAAATGTATAGAAAATATAAATCCCTGGTGACACAATTATATATTAAGGATATAAATATAAAGGATAAAATATAAAGGATAAAGCTATAAAACATTTAGAAGAAACATAGGAAAATATTTTTCCTGTTTTGGGAGTAGTAAGATACAAAAAGTACTAAACATGAAAAAGATATTAGGCTTCATCAAAATATAAAACTCCTGCTTATTAAAATATACCACTAAGAAAACATAACTGCAAGCCTTCAGACTGTCAGAGGACAGTTGTGAGGTATATATGCAACAAACAAATTTTATCCAGAATACATGCATAAAAGAAGAAAATGATAGTTTAACAGTGGTAATGATTTCTCAGTGAATATGTGCATCAAAATATTTAGTCACATATCTTAAATATATACATTCTTATCAATTATATCTTAATAAACATGAAGAAAAAACAAAGCAAAACAACTTATATCCATCAATTAAAAATGAGAAGTAACTCCATTATTTTAAAAGTTACTTTCTCAAATAAGACATAGCCAAGTACATAAAAAGTGTTCAGTATTTTTTATTTGAAGAATGCAAATTAAAATCACAGTTAAAATTATTTCAAACCCAATTATTAAAAATGATCTGTAACCCCTATATATGGCTGGTAGGAAAGCACACCAATTTGGAAATCTGTTGGGCAATTCCTTGTAACATTAGACACACACGTCTTATAGCAACTCCATTCTGAGGTTTTTAAGTCAGCCAAATGAAGCTATATATTAACAAATTGATTTTCAGAAGAACATTAATATCAACTTAAAAAATAATCATCTTAAATTTGAAAAAAACCAAATATCTGTCTGGAAGAGAAAAGATTAAAAATCATAGTACACTCATGCAAAGGGGTTAATTACTCAGCTATTAAAAAATGAGCTATAAGAAAGTCATCAACATGGACAAATCTCATGAGCATTTTTTGAGTAATAGAAGTCAGATAGGAAGCCAAAAACCATGTTATTACCTTTATAAAAACTATCAATAACTGGCAAAACTAGAGGGTGTTAGAAGTCAGAACTGCAATTGCTTCTGGGGTATGCCTTACTAGTAGGGGACACAAGGCACTCCTCCAAGGAGTAAAAATGTTCTATATCTTGAGTGAGATAATGGCTACAGGTCATAGACACATCTCAAAACTCACTTAATGGTTTTCACACTTTATAATATGTGAATTTTACCCCCCTATAAATTGTCATCAGAAAGCAAACAAGATTAATCAATATAAAATCAAAGAAGCAATGAAAGTCTATGTAAAAATAATTAAATGATACAGAATAAACTGGATTAAAAAGATGTGGTTTTTCTGTAAAATGGAATACTACTCAGCCATAAAGAATGAGAAATTAGATTCAATTATGGGAAAATGGATACATATTGATGATACACTCCTAAGTCAAATAAATAAGTCACACGTGTGTAAATACCGAATAGTTTCTCTGGTGTGAAAAACTATAATAGTACATAAGATCCTAATGAGATAATTGACAATGTGAAAGAGGAAGAAAAGGGGTAAAGGTGTAGGGGAAGTGGGAAGGGTAGGGGAAAGGTAATGAGGGAAAAGAAAAAAATGTGAGGTAATGAAAAGACGGAAATAAAGTGTTTGTAAGTGAGGAGGGAAGGAGGGGGTGAAGGGAGGGCAGGGACAAGAGAAAAAAATGAGAACCAAGACCTGTCATGTAAAGGTACAAGATCCCAATAATGAATGTAACTGTACTGTATACCTAAAATGTACCAATAAACTCAATGAAAAAATGATACAGAATAAAAGTTATTATATTGGTTTATCCTCCTTCCCCAACCTTCAATTTAATTTCTCTCTCCTTTGGTAACCATGGCTAGAAGGGCAATATTGGAGGCAGGGCCCCATTTCTGAGTTTTTTTGTACAAGTGCCACATGGAAAATCTAGAAGGGCATTGACTTTTAGCTCATTACTGGAATTTAGAATATATTTGTAAGTAAAGCCCGAGTGGGATATTCAATTACATACCCTAGTCCTGCAGCATATTTCTGAATTTCAAGAGTGTAAGAAGAATCCAAAATAGTATTCTGAGCTCATTCCCACTTTTCAGAGAATGAGAGTAATGAACGATGGACAATATAGGATCAACTTATGGAGCTCCTGTGAATCCTGGCACATTTTTATGGATTCTGTACTCCAGGAGCTGCCCCGTGTGAAGTTGAAGCTACGCCATTATGGTTTAGATCTTAGATACCCCCCACATTTTTCATATGTGTGGAAGGTAATTCTATCTTGAGGGTTCTGTGGTCATCAGTGGATTCATCCATTGTTGAGTTCATCGGCTCAAGGTTCTGTTAGGAGGTGGGGCCTGGTTGGACCAGGGGGATCATGCCCTAGGGACATGATTTAGAAGGGTGTATTCTTTTCCTAGTTCTTTCCTTCTTTATCTGCTTTCTGAGTGCCATAGGATAAGCAGCTTTCCTCGACCCAGACCCTTCTGTTTCTATCTTGGAGCCACTGGAAAATGGACAGAAACTGAGCCAAAATAAATCTCTGCTCCTTTAAATTCCAGGTGTTGGGTACTGTGTGTCAGCCATGAGGAACTAACGGAGGTACATGGTGACAGATGGAGATAAGCCCAGAAGACTGGAAAACATGACTTTCCTCTGTGCCACTGACCCTCACTTCAGATGATTAAAAGAAACTTGGAGTCCCTATGAGTAGCCGTATTAAATGCAATCCAATTCAACTTGATTATAATGATTTACAGGGTTGGTAAATACGTACTGCTTGAATTAGGAATGTTCTGCGCTATACTGTCCAACCCAGTAATCATTATTCTATATGCAGTTATTGAACACTTGAGATGGGGATGGTTAAAACTGCAATGTGATCAAATATAAAATATACATCAGGTGTTAAAGATTTAGTAAAAAGTAGAATGTAAATTATCTTACTAGTATTTTATTCTCAGAGGCTGCGGATTTAGTTCAGAGCTACTGCTGCCTGCCTCTCAAGCATAAGGTCCCGAGTTCAATTTCCAGTGTCAAAACAAAACAAAACATTCGTGTTCACAATGATCACATGTTGAAATGATAGTATTTTGGATGTATTATTTAAATATAATATAGTAAACTAATTTTACCTTTATTTTTTTTCTTTAAATAATTTAGCTCCTAGAAAAATTTAAATTACCTATGTGTGTCACAGATTTACGGGTTGCATTCTATTTCTAGTAGACAGAGGTACTCTAAGGTATTTGGAGTGGGGGCAGTAAGGATTGTGGGACCTCAGCAAGTATTCAAGTAGTATTACAGGCTAGTGAATTTCCATAGCACTATCTTAGAGACATCAAGCCTAAAGCACTCACATAAATCTCCTGGTTCTGAAACAGGAAGAGACTACTGGGGATTATGTAACCTGATTTTTTTTTTTTTTTTGGTACTGGGGATTGAATTTGGTGCTTGCAAGGCAGGCCACCGAACCACTGAGCTAAATCCCCGGCCCTGTAATCTGATTCTTAATCCCACACCTACACTCCATCTCTTCCAGTGTTATATATGTTAGTAGGAGATACACATTTCTTTTGCTGGAGCAAACAGATTATTTATGTGGAAATATTGAAATAAACAAAAAGCCCTACTAGTTTCTTTCTCACTTGGATCTAGTAGAATCTAGCTCAAAAATAATGGACAATTTTGATAGTATGGTTCATTGTAAAAAGGTCTAAAATAACAATACATGGCAGATATCTCCAATTAAATCTAGAATATCAGCGCATAGTCTGTTGTGGTGGCGGTAATCAATGAAAACAAAAATGGTCTTATTTGAAGTGGTATCTGTAGGTGACACATGGGCTGACGGTTGTGCCCCCAAGAATGTGGAAAAAAGGTAATACAATTACTTTGTGAGAGCTGTCTGTGAAATCATACAAAAACCTAAAAAGCAGAGTCTCAAATTGAAATACCAAGGGGTCAATACATTAAATTTTTTATCTGTAAGAAGCATCCAGAATTCTATTCCAGCTCCTTTTTGTTATGTGGACCTTGCCTTATCAGATCTGACTTTTGAGATACTCAGATTTTTTTTCTCCAGAACTGAAGATTGAATATAGGACCTTGCATATGGTAGGGATGCCTATATTTTTAAATGCTGGTGACTAGTATTTTTTAAATGTATCACATTAAAATCTGAACCAATGCCTCTACGCTTAATTTCAACAATTCTTTTTGTTTTGTTTCTGTATTTACTTCTATATGAACAAAATTTTGATCATATTTTTAATGAAAATCTAACCACACGAAGATAATCAAGTACCATTTACAGACACTATCACTTGCCGGGTACTCATCCCTTGTATCCTGTTGTAAAGGGAATCTAAACAACTCCCCAGTTCCAGAGCCAGCTCAGTGTTGTCACTGGGATTCTGTCTTAGGCCGCACTTTCCACAGCCTCTGCTTTCTCATTCCAGGAACCTGAGATCGGGCTGCAGTTTTGCTGAATGAAAAGGTTTCAAGATTTCCCTATACAAGCAGATTTGCATTGATGCGCATTCCACTGGTGTACCTAGTTTCCCCGCCCTCTGCCAACTCTTGTAAATCCTGAGCCCAGTATGAAATTTGGATCATTGAGATAGTTGTATTGGTCAATGTGAAGTAGTCAATGACCTGCTAATAATCTAACTCTGTAAATTTGGTTAATCCAAGTCCATCCCAGAGATCAACACAATAAACATTAGCTAAATCAGTTTCATGGCTTGAGAGGCTGTTGGCCAGATCCAAGGTTGTTGTTAAATTCATTACTTCCTAATAGAGGGTAACTGGCATCTACCAAAAATCCCACCTGTGTAACAACTTCACCAGCATGTCCTATTATCAGTAAATTTTAAGTTTTATTCTTTATAATTTTGTATGAACAGAAAATATATTCTCCACAAATGCCAGTTTCATGGTGGAAAAGAAATCTAACTTCATCAGCAAATACAGCACTCTCTGCAACTTAATTTAGTTACTTGTTCTGACTTGGGCTGCGTGAATCTTCTGCTTAGAGTTAGATTCCTCTTAAGGAAATGGCTGTTCTCCCCAAGTACTTCGATCTCTTAAGGAGTTCCTATTTACTGTTTAAAAATGAAAACCTGTCTTACAATCTCTTTTTGACTGAAATATCTAAACCCAATTAGAAACCTGAAATAGAGGCTCTGAACGGACTAAACTGTGGCAGGCAAAACCAGTAGACTTGTTAAAGGAAATGAACACGTTTGTTCAAGTGGGCATGGAAGTGGTCAAATACTGTAAGTGAAAGTGGACAGTAAGGTCAACCTCATGCTGACCAAGAAAGATGACAGTATTCACAGCAGTTCATCAACCATCTGGAGGGACAACCTAAAATCAAACCTCTGGATGGAACAGTGTTTTTGCTCATGAAAAATGAGCACATCACTTGAATGAGTTGTTCGACTCTTAAATTGTAGTTTAATTTTAGCCACTCAGGGCATTGTAGCTTTCTGTTCTCTCTAGAAAGAATTATAGAAGTGAACAAACAGAGGCAGACTGAGAACATATTCTCCCAGTGATTGCAGCATAAAGCGCTACGCAAGTGGATATAGGAAACACCAGCTTCCTGCTTAGTTCACAGGAAGCAGACCAGTGAAACAGTGTTAGAAAGGAAGGGGTCAGGGATCATATATAAATCCCAGGTCACATCTCTATGACCCATGCAGACACACCCAGATTTATGCTTTATTAATCCTCTGGGGGCTCCAGAGCCCATCAAGTTGACAAACCTGTCACAAAATTAAAACATGGAATTCACAGCTTGTCTGGACAATACATGGTAAAATATTGTCTTGGTGTCTATGGAATTTAAAAGATTCTCTTTTATCACTAATGGATCTTGACTTGTTCTCCTTAGTAGGAAACTAAAAATGAAGCCCTCTGAGATTGGATATAGCTATTGTCATGATTTCACATTAGAGTAACTTTTTCAAATCACCAGAGATAGTAATTCTTGGCAACAAGAGATAACTTGTTGGGGGAGGGAGAAAAATATTCTAGGCTCTAATCAACTTTTATGCCAAAGATTCACTTTTTCTTTGGCTGTTCTCTGAGCCCTCCTGAAACTAAGACCTAACTTACTCCTGCAGACTTTGGAAAATTTACATCGAAAGGATCAGCTAGATCAAACTATATCAAGGAGGTAGAAGTTTTAGGTGTATATTCACAATTTGGATTCAATGTTTCTTCTCCAGTAGTCCTTAAATATTGGATACTTATTGTGAGGAGTTTACATGTATTGAACTATTTAATCACCACAGTCTTCCTGTAAGTTTCACTATCTCATTTTACAAGTGAGGAAACTGAGCACAAATAAGTTATATCACTTGTTCTGGATACAAAAGTTAGTTAAGTTTTATATTGGCATTAGAAACCAAGCAACTTCACTACAAAATGCATCTTGAAAACACTAGACAGCATCATGTTAGACAAAAAGATGTTTTGAGAAGAATAGTCTAGGAGAAGCTGGTTTTTAAATTCTGTTACGATATCCAGAAGGATGTGGAATCTTCAAGATCTATAGCGTTTGTAGCCTTAGGACTTGACAGATGAACAGTGAGAATTGCTCTGGTCTTTTAGCAAAGGATAAGGTGTTCGGGAGGTTTTGGGAAATTATTAGATTTTAATATTCAATTAGGCAAGACTCTCCTTCCTTTGCAGCTACTGAAAAAGGCATATGGAAATAGAAGCAGAACTTATTTCCAAGTGACATAGAAATCACCTTCCTCACCATATTTCAAGTTCCAGATTGGTGCTGTTGATGTCTGGGTCATCAAAAGCACAGGTCAGTGAGTGCTGGGATCTATCCACTTCCAACTGAGCATAGCAGGAGAATGAGTAGTCTGTATCTGACTCTGCATCTTCTAAGTCTCCTGGGAGGAAAAACATGTAGCTATTACTGACATTGAAAAAAAAATGCATCTTTGAAAAATCAGGTGTGACCTTAATAAAATGGCAGACTTGTGGAAGACATGAAGAAGTGATAATATTTTACCTAAAGAAGGGAAAAGATGAGAAAAAAGATTTCAAAACAAAAACCCAGCGTGCAGTTTTCTAACAGAAAAATTTCATCATCCTTAATAAATAACTTAATAAATAAATATTTATGCCTTTGGATTAGTGCATGAGGGCACTACAAGGAGGCACTCAACAGAATATTTTATTTAAATTAGAATTTCTTGTTATATTTGTCACAGTGAAATGTTTGTACATTTCAAGTGAAAAATACTCTGTTGTCATCATTTGTATGCTACCTAATTTAACTTTTGATTCATTACTAGTCTTTTTATTTTCTTCCAAGACTTTTTTCCCAAAAGATATAAAATGATAGGTATGATACAATCGGAAGTTCATTTTTTAAAGAGATTACTTTCCCTTATATAAAAAGGTATCCCATGTAAAGGCAGCATTAATAACTCCATTCTGTGACAGTTTGAAGCAATTTATCTTAAGCCACTGACTTAGGCAAACATGTTCAGAATAATTCTATCTTGTGAATGTTATACATATTGCCTCTGTTCTTATAGATTCTTATTTTATAGGTACTATTTCTTAGAGATAATGAGGATATTCTGGAATAAAGTGGGGAACTAGATTTTTTTGAAGCCACTTTTAGAAAGTGCAATTTGTTACAAGTAGTATCTGACTTTTAAAATTGTAGTCTAGACTTACACTTAAAGAAATATTTTATATTCGATATTTTGTATTCAATAGCAAAGTGAGACGGAAACAAATCTAACAGCGAATACACTCCAACTGGGCCCTGAGGAAATTCACAGCAATGAGATCCATTCTGAAACTGCTCAGTGTGAGCCTCTCATTGCTTCTAGGAATTTTAACCCATCAGTACCCCAAATTGGATGCTTCTGTGACTTTAAAATGGATATGGAACATACTAAAATCAAAGCCCCATTGCACGTTGCAGAGGCCATGGATAGTCCAAACTGCTCTCTCTACTTAAGAAGCCTAGTAGATCTGTGGGAAAGTTAATGAACTGTTTGTAAACGGACCAACCACTTGAGTGAGAGTGCGTTCCATCAAAGAATGCACCGGTAACACCTCTGCTAGATCAGAGTGGTAGGCACTACTCACAACACAGACATTTGTCTTTCTTACCATTGCCAGACTCCACCTAGCTCCTGATTCTCCCACTGTGTCATTGCAGCAGAGTACAGCCCTCTCCCTGATGACAATGTTAACATGAAGCAGACAGAAATTTAGCACTTGGCCTTAAAACATGTTTCTTTGTAATTTTGTAGGTTTGGGTGTTTCCTTCTGAAGAGATGACGTCTTTCTAAACACAACTGTTCTGAGTGGGTTAAGCCTCCTTTATATGGTAATTTTCACATTGCTTTAAACTTTCCTGTTCTTTGAACCTTCCACCGACCCTGTATAACAAGCATACATTACTATCTAGATTAAGGCATCTTGTAGGTCAGCTTTGTCTCTGTAATTTTCCAATACACAATGGAAGCTAGACAGTACACACTCTTATAAATATCAGCTGCCAGGAGAAGAAACTCTCACCACAGCCCTCTGATCTGGCAAGGTTTGTTTGTTGCATAATCTCACACAGTAGACAAATCACTGTGCATTCAATTTTTCCTGCACCTTAGCTGCATTAAAAGGAAAACAGCTCATTGGCTCTTTAGCTGGTGTTATTAGGCGGAATTGCTTAGTAACTAAAGAAAATTTCTTGTGTAAAATTGCATTTCATTCAACAGAGAGAATATTCTTCTTGATGCAGCCTGAAAAATTATAGGTAAAAGTAGGGTATACAATGTTTAGAGTTTTTGGTATTATTAGTAGAGACGTGAGTTTAAATTCTGGCTATTCTGCTATAGTTATGGCCCTCTATCAGGTCACTCTTAGGGTTTTCATGTAGAAACTCATGTTATTGGAACCCATGTTATTGTACAGATACAGAGGAAGTTAGCTTAGAAGATAGGAAATATTCCATAAGGGTGATTTGCCACAGTCATCATAGCTTTTGAGAAATAAATGATGAAAAAAATAGGAATTCTAATTCTGAAGTTAGATTGTATATTTGGAGTTCTTTTGAAAAAGAGTTCTACAGCAATTGAAGGCATTTTTATGTGGTTTTGAAATTACATAATACTTTATTTTTCTCTTTTAGGTTTCCTGAGACAGGGGCTCACTACATAGTTCAGGCTGGCCTTGAACTCGCAGTGATCTGCCTGCTTTAGCCTCCCAAGTCCTAGAATTATAGGCATGCATCACCATGCCCAGAAGCATTTCAACAGTGAATTAATCTATTATTTTAAATGGTCAAGTATTATTATTATTAATAATAATATTTAAATGTCTAATGGTTTAAATTAAAATTTTCTATAGACATTTAAATTTTTTGTTATATATTTTATAGGCAAGGCAGTGTGGTTTAGAAGACCTCTTTCTTCTGAATGGAATTAGTTGATTGAATGGATATATTTAAATGGTTTGGGTTTTAAAAAAGTATTCTTTCTTGTCTTTATCAGCCTTGTGGTTATGAGAGAACTAACTTACCTTTCAACAAATATTAACTGATCATTTTGTAAATTCCTTGTCTCCAAACTGGCAAGTATTTTGATATCGTCATGTAGATGAGTGGTTACAGACCTAAAAATATCCGATATTCTAAAAGTTGAAGTGAAAGCCTAGTTTTCAGTTAAAATTCTTATTTCTTTTAAAAATTTCATGACGACTAGGAAGAAATAGCGGTTATATATTACAACAAAGTAAAAAAAGTTGTCATGTTTCCTGTCATACCTCTAAGGGAAATAATAGCATAGAAATGGTTATCCTTCAAAAAGTGATTCATACATGGTCAGGATGTGAAAAATGCCACCCCTCCGACAAGTCCCTTAATGAGAAAAGGCAAGGGTTTTCCATCTTTGGTAACTACCAAATAAATTGGCTTAAACTATCTAAACTAAGGAAACATGACTAAAGAAACATGACTCAAAATGTCTAAGCTGAATCACTAGGTTGATGTATTGATGCTGTCTTTTAGGAAAATAGTTTTTAACTCTTAAAGTGTGGGGCTGAATTTGTAAGAACAAATTGGTAGTCCAAGTACCCAGGGGTTCCTGCAGCTGCTAGATTCTTTTGTAGATAGTTCTAATTGTAATGTACTTTTTAAGAATCCAGAATCTGCTTCTACATACTAAGCATTTCAAGCATTCCAGAGAATTATTATATATACACTTGTTGACTATGAAGTAACTGAATATATTTCAATGCGACAGATCACTCAACTTTGCTTTGTTACTCACTAAGCATCTCACACGACTGCCAAAACTAAAGTATCTTGAAGAAGTGTTTACACATTTATTGAATGATTATTATGCTCTGGACACTGACTTAAACACTAGGTGATACAGTACTGATCAATGAAAGTGAAGCAATTATTTCTAGACATTACTATGCCATGAAAATGTATGATTTTGGAACCTCTTAAAAAGCCAAACAAACAAACAAACAATCTAGCTCAACTTCCAGACAAAATAAAATTACCTTAGAGATTTTCCAATGAGCATAATTGCAGCATCTATTTCAGTGTCCTTTTGTGAGACAGAAGCATCAATCAATATTTAGGATCCGCATTTTAAGAGTCCAGTGCACTCCTGGACAATTCTGAGGCATTAGAAACCACCCATAGTATCGTCTCTGTGCCCTGGGTCAGGCATTAGAACACACAAGTAACTGAATAAATGTTAAGTTCTTAAATTCATAGCAGCCTGGTGGCCAGCTCAGGTCTGTTAGGGAAATGAGTAACCTTAAACATATGTTAGAGACAATCTAATATCCCCCAAAAAAAGTAAGAAATGACTCACCATTCGGTGCATAGCCACTTTCTCCAGAAACAGTGTAAAGTAAATAGAAAACTATAGCGAAAGCTGTACCTAGAATTGTCATTTTGAGAGAGAGAGAGAGAGAGAGAGAGAGAGAGAGAGAGAGAGAACTGGAGAGAACAGTAGAGAGCAGAAGTGTGATCCTGTATGTACAAATGAATGAGAGAGAGAGAGGGAGACTAGCTCTATAGCTAGTTAACCACAAGTGGGGAAGTACGAACACAGCATGTAAGAAGCAAGAGCCAGAAACAGGAAGTCTAAGTAAAAGTATTACTGCTGTAAGCAGAAGGAGAGGAAATGAAGAGATAGAGCAATTTTATTTATCCCACCTCTCAGCTCCGACCCTGAAATCACTGTGCTTACTTTGGAATTAACTTGTAGATTTTATATCAATGTTCAAGTAATCTCAGGCTAGGGCCCGATTTAAAAGGATCACAAGACAAAAATCTTAAACTTGAAAAGCTAACCAATTGTTTCTTTGGTGTGAGTTTTGCTTTAAAGATTCTGTGCTTTGAAATTTATTGTAAGGATGTCTTCTTTTCTAGTTTTTTATTTTTTTGTGAGTCCATATTTCTAGTACCTACTGATTACATTTCTCATAAGGAGTGGATAAAGGTACATATGCATTTTAATACTTTTTCCATCTTCTTCCTCTGCCCTCCCTTCCCCTTCCCTCAGTAAGTTTATTTTAAATTGCTTACTTGCTACCTCTTAGTTTCCACAGTAGCAGCTTTTCTTTTTGTGTTCCTGGATATTTTCCTATCACTTATCCTTAGATCATTCATCATAGTAGGCATTCAAGAATTGTTTATGTTTAATGCAGGTATTGGCAGGCTGAGCTAGAGACCAAATTTGCCCCTTCTGTTTGTGTAAATATGTTTTATTAGAACTAGCTTTCACCTATTCTTTGTGTATAGTCTCCAGGTGCTCTCCTGCAGCCATGGCTGAGCTAAATAGATGAGATAGATACTATATAATGCAAAAAGAGTAAAATCATTACCACCCGATTCTTTGTAGAAAGTCTATTGATCTTCTGTATAAAAGAATAGCTACTTTCTTCCTGTATTTTTTTTCTTTTGTTTTTGTTTTTTTTTTTTGGTAGTGGGGATTGAACTTGGGTCCTTGTGCTTGCGAGGCAGGCGCTGGAACCACTGAGCTAAATTCCCAGCCCCCTTCCTGTATTTTAATTGGATTTTGTTGGTGAAAATCTGACTGCCATTCAACTTCTCAGAAGTACAGAGTACACACCAACCATGCTGGTACTTCTGTATATAGACAGACACCTGACATAATGACACAGGTAATTCAGATTCTCTCTAAACTTGTGTGCCAGTTGAAATTATTTCCAACATGGCTTCATAGCTAAAATGGTGGGTTTTCCAGGACTGGCTGACTTCTTGATAACTTTTAGATTGTTTTTTAAGCCATTATCAGTATTCAGAGGTACTAGTCTATATTAGTTCTGTCATCAGTAGACAGATAATACCTCCTGTAAGATACAATTCTGCTGAGGTCTTCAATTAGATCTTCCAATGGATTCCAGCCATAACGCCACACTAGCTTGATTCACAATGACTCTCTTTTGGAAGAAGCTGCAAGACTGTGATTATAAGGTGATGAGTTTGGAGAATAGGAAAGGCCAGTGAGTTAGGAATTTCTGTTTGATTCCCTATTATTGAGTAAATTGTTACCATGGGATGGTAAAAATGTAAATTAGTGGAGATGAACAGCATTGTTCCTGATGTGGAGCAAATAAAAGCTGAATAAGCCAGTCTGTTTCATCATTATAATTGTTGTGATGATTTGGTAAGACCAGGAGTGTTAGTACAGTCTGGTAACTCCTCACTTTTGAAGCTGACCCAGAGACAGATATGGTCTCTACTAATTATAAATCCATGCTTTGGAATACAAACTCAAAGAAGCAAGAATACAACTGAAAGGGTCATATTCTATCTCTTCCAGCTGTCTGAAACTCCTTTCAACATTCCCAAACACCTCTCAAACTTTATAAAGAGAGATGATTTTGTACATCAGGCAATGGTTTGTGTTCTCATTACTAATCTTGTTTTGAAAGCTTGGTTAGAAAATCTTAAGCCTCATTCATAAAAATTGGTAGGTTTTGTGCATTGAGCTGAACATCCTTTCTAGAAAGCTGTAATTAGAAATTCTCATGAACTAAGCAAGTGTTCAAAGAGCAATCACAAGTTATATACATCCACTAGCTCAGGTCTTGTGAATTGCTCTCAACTTGTCCCCACGCAGTTGAGTAACTGGATTATGTCTCTTTAAATCTCTTGTTTATAATGTAAGTGGACTATCATTTTGATTGTATCTCTTTCCTTTAGTTGTGAAGATGTAAAAGAACAAAGTCAAGACACAATATTTTTGTACAGCATGTGCTAGTTTGCTCAGGGGATTTCCACTAGGGTGCTTACCCTCATTGGGTGAGGTAAGAGACTCTGAAAGACCTTAGTGGTAAACTAAATAAAGTGTAGGCAATTCAGTGAATACTGAGATATATCACTCATCCTTTAGATATCGTGGGGGGATTTTGGTACTTTCTTTCTTCACTCCCATCTTATTAGTCCTTTGAAACTTATAAAAGCTGAGGAGGAACCGCCTGGTTTCACATAGCCCCCAGATGAAACACATTTATCATTTTGCTTTGTCATCATTGCTTGTAAGAGAAGCACAGACAGAGAGAAGAATAGGATCAGGAAGACTGCAGCCAACCTGGGCCTCCAACTGTGAAATCAGGACCCAAGCATCGCAGAGTGAGTGAAGCAAGTTCTTGAGCATGTCTGCTTGCTTGAACCATCCCGCTTTTTTCTGTCATCACTCCCTGTCATCATTACCTTTCTGTGTCCCCCTTAGGGTGTAGTCTTTCTTAGGCTGATGTGTTTCTATGATGTGACGTATCATTGAAAAGAAAGTCATTTTATTGTTTCTCGATGCACAGCATACCGATCTCATAGAAAAACTCCCAGTACCAGCTGGTCCAGTCTCTCCTGTCTCCTTTGTTTTCTGATTTTTCAGGTCATATGTATAACACACCAAACTTCTAAAAACACTTTTCTTTTTAATTAAGATTATTGGTACAATTTAGATAAATATAATGATCACATTCTTCATAGGGAATTTGTACCTGTGCATGATGTGATATGTGTCAATTCTTATTTTTTTCCCATTTCCCCTCTCCTTCTTTCAACCATTCTTCCCCTCTTTATTTACAAAATCTTTGTTTTCTATTTTGTCTTTCTTTCTTTCTTTTTTGGTACTGGGGATCGAACTCTGGTCCTTGTGCTTGTCAGGCAGCCAATGGAACCACTGAGCTAAATCCCCAGCCCTTGTTTTTTTTTTTTTTTCTATTTTTTTCCTTTTCCCTTTCTTCCTCCTCCACCTCAATGCCCTTTCTTTTGTTTTCATATTACAAAAGCTTACAAAAGCTCTACTTAATACTAGTAGAGAGGCCATAAAGAGTTCCGAGAGCTGAATGTTCAGTGGGATTTCAGATCCTGGAATGAAAAAGTTAGAAAAATATAACTTTATTTGATTTTTGTTGTTGTTGTTGTTGTTGGTCATTAACTTAGTTCAAGTTCAACCCAGGAAAATCCACACCTTCCATCTATTTCCTCATTAGTAAGAACAAAAGTTTTGCTGGGAAAACTCAGGCTAGCATTTTAACTTCTTACTACTCTACCATTTAGACTTATCTCTTAGGATTAAACATTTTATTTCTGTCTCTTATAGAAATTATAAATTAAGTGGAATATATACAAATGCATTACCCATTTCAGCACCCTGGGGAAACAGTTTTGAGAGCAAAAGTAGTTGTATGAGTCAGTGTTTACTCGAAGTTTATAAAAAACGCCTTTAAGCATCTAGTAATTGTCCCAAATGAGAATAATTTAAAAGTTTTTCATTTTCTGCTTGTATACTGAGAACAATAAAATGAAACACTACCACCACCACCCATAATAGTAGCATATGTTAAACAGGAATATCTCAGGCAAAATGTTTTTTTCTTTTTTTTTCTTTTTATTGAGTCTACTGGCACATTTTAGGTACACAGTACAGTTACATTCATTATTGGGATCTTGTACCTTCACATGATAGGTCTTGGTTCTTATTTTTTCCCCTTGTCCCTGCCCTCTATTCACCCACCTCCTCCCCACTTAAAAACACTTTATTTCCATTTTTTCATTTTCTATTTTTTTCTTTTCCCTTATTCTCTTTCCCCTACCCTTCCCATGTTCCCTAAACCTTTAGTCCTTTTCTTCCTATTTCACACTATTAATTATCTCATTAGGATCTTGTGTACTACTATAGTTTTTCACACCAGAGAAACTATTTGGTATCTACACATGTGTGACTTATTTATTTCACATAGGAGTATATCCTCAAATTTATCCATTTTCCTATGAATGACTCTAACTTCCCATTCTTTATGGCTGAGTAGTATTCCATTTTATAGAAAAACCACATCAGACAAAATGTTGATGCTTAAAAAAACTGAAAAATTCTAAAGCCCATTCTATGAAAACTGAGCTAACTACCCCCTCCTACTAACAACTTACCCTCCTTAATGAATGGATGTTTTCCCCTTAAAGTGAGAAATGATCTTAAGAGGTACTAAGAGGGTTGGGGGTGTGGATGTGGGAAAAGCCTGGGCAGTGAAGTGAATGGTGACCAAGAGCTATGGACATGAGCATCCAAAGTGTAAAGTAGGTGAAGATAGCTGTAGAGGAAACTTATGTTGCTCAAGTCCCAGACTAACTGTCTTAAGAATTTGATCAGTTTATGCTGTCAGTCCCTAGGATTCTGAGGGCACATTCCAGCATCTTGAAGTTTCATTTTCAGGAGCACAGGGTTTTCCTCTCCTTGCCTCTTCTTTCATCTTTCTTTCCTCCTTACCCCATGGTGTCACTCCATGTCCTGCTCTTCTTCCCATGAGCACAGTTTGAAATGTCATACTTGTTTTGTCTTTCCATGATTTTCACTTGTATCTTTGGGTGTAACAAAAGTGGAATCTTCGAGTATGAACTTTTCACTCTTTGATGAAGAAATTTTTATCAGAAAAGGGGTATTTTGATTTCAAGATATATTCTGACCTTTGGGGTTTTTGGCCAGGAAAGAATGAAAATTTCTAGAGGACCATTGGTTCAAGATCCACACTCTTCTCCTGATA